GATGCGAATGAAAGGCTTTATTTTCTTACTTTTTTGAATAGAAATAATACTGCAAGATGCTAATAAATTAAATAACCACTTATTTCCATTTTCTGCGTTGGTGTAAAATTGTTAGGGATTTGCTTGTTTGTTTTTAACTGAGGCAACTAGAATTTGAATGATGTGAGAAAGGAAAGACTAATAAACACAAACCTGTGACAAAAGTTCTATGGAGCATTTAAAAAGTATTTAAATAGCATCTGTATTTACTCTTTAACATGCATTCATGTTCCAGTAGAGTAGCAGAGAGACAGTCTGGACACAAACTAAAGCAGCAGCCCTGCTTCCTTCTGTTTTCACGCTAAGGGCTTCTCAAATGTTGGAGAATTTCTCTGCTTCTACTTGTTAGAGTAATTTCCAATTCTACCATAAAGTCTGCGTTTGAAATTTTTCTTTTACTCTGTTACTGTTCTGGAATTTTCCTGGAGACTCCTGTATAGATAAGCTTGGAGGTATGAATAATCAAAATAGATTTAGGATTGGATTTTTTTCACAGAGTATCTGTGTTGCTGCTGTTTCAGTGCAAGTACAATGGCGTCAAAGGAGCCCTGTTGCCCCAAGAACTGGAGCATCAGCTGCAAAAGGTTTTGCGAGGTGGCAGGATAACCTTTACCTGCTACTTGAACATCATTCCATGGAGAAAATATTCTGAAAATGAAAGACTGTGACTAATTTATCTGCTTTTAACTTAACAAAACTTATCATTGAGTTTTCAAAGTATGAAATTAAGGAATATGCTGGCCAGGGAACTCTTTTTAGTCTGTGCTCAGGTATTGCTACCTCCAAATTCTGTTGCTTTCACAGAAAGTGCCATTTAAGTAACTGCAATATGCAGTTTCTTAAAACTGCATATTGAATAAGTAAATAAATTTATTTTTTAAAAAGTTCTCTCAGTTTTTCTCTAGTGTACACTACTGATTCATACTACTTACCCCATGCTAATTGTATTTAACAACACCTACCTGTTGAATCATCTGATTTCTTGAATCCTGCACTATTACTAGGAAGTTGCACAAAGCACAAATTCTTATGTTTATGAGAAAAGCTTCAACTTGCTCTCTTCCAGTGTGTCCCAAGCAGAATTGTATGGGCCGGTTGCTGTAATGGTCTTTTTAATTAAAAAAAACCAACAACAAACAAACAACAAAAAAGACAATGAAACCACCTTATGTGGTCATTTGCCTTAAATAGCAGTTTTTCTTCTGTCAGTGTAGTCCAGGTAAGGTCTTCACAACAAATGGGTTCTTGTGGAGGGTCTGTACTCTTCTCTCCATCCGGAGACTAACCTGGAAGATAGTCTATATTAATTGTAATAAGTTTTGTTGCTTTGATCAGCAGTCAGAGAAACAGTCTAGCTTTTCTGATTCCTTTCATTAAAATGAAAATATTTTTTCCAAGCTAATATGCCTGATGATGAGGAGGATGCTGTTCATTTTGCTTCCAGAGCTACAGTGTTTTGTTTTGTTTTTCATATGAAATCACTGTGGGGCTATTGACAAGTATTCCCATCTTCGTCATCATGTTCACTTTTTGTTGATTTCCTCTGTAGCTTTTGCCACTAGTTTCTGTTTATCTCAATTTTTATTTCCTTTCCCTTAAGCAATCTTAAAATGTCTTTATATAATTTTAACCCTATTTTTAGGCAACTATTGGTTTGCCTTCTGAGCTGAAAGAAGTATCTTTGTCAAAGGTCACATTTAGATCATTGCCGAGCCATCCAGCGTGTGTTTATAGTCTTGTATCTGTGACAGTATAATCTGTTGCCATAGAGAAGATTATGGCTGTGTAGGACTATTTTGTATTCTGAACCACTGTGTACTTTATACGAGGCTTATTAAAGAGAATATTGTCAAAAGATATAAAGTACTAAAATAAAGGTTCACGAAAACCTGTTGATTTTTTTTTTTAAAAGGTCTAGATCCTAGACCTAAACCAGCCATTACTTAATTTTGTCTTTATTTTCTTCTCAGCATATCATTACTTTGGTTTTGCTCCTTCAGTCATCTAAGAAATAATCCTATAGAAGTTAATCATAATCATTGTTAAGTAGGAAAAATGTTGAATAATGTTACTAAGTTAACTTGCTTTGCTGCAGAATACAAAAACTTCCCCTTTTTAAATAAATGCAACTGCAAGGAAGACGAGACTTGTTCATATTTCCTTCTCTGCATTGTCAAGTTTTGATGTGTGCAGCCTGTAGCAGGGAAGACCTTCATGGTCTGAAATCCTGTGCAGTGAAGAGAGCCATTGGGTAGTCCACACTGGCTGATAAATTGCATGTGCCCCATTAAGAAATAAATGGATTGTCAGGATTGTAAGAGTGTAAGATGGGGAGCTTTGCTAGGGGAAGCAGATGATGGGTGACAGGAAATAGGGGGAATTGCTGGAGAAAATACGTGTAGGTTAAACTTCCCAGGGTGTCACCCACTAGCTCTTGATGTGTCACAGTTCTCTTTACTGGTAACCCACAGATTAGAGTCTCACTTGCAAGTATGGCACCTGCTGTGAAACAGGCCAGGAGAGTTATTTGTTCTCTACATAATTACTCTTTTTGTTTGTATCAGTACGACTATAAAGTTTTAAATTACCTTAACAAAAAAAAAAAAAAAAAAATCCTGTGGATTACTGTTACAGGTGAAGTATTCATAAAAATAACTTTTTGTTTCAGAATAGATGATTAAATTTACAGATCAACATGTGATATCTAAAAAATTGAATCAGAAGTTGAGTTGATCTCCTGGAGGGACCATTTTTGGTTTTATATTCACCGGATTTTACTCCCTCTCTCTACATTTTCCAGAGTGTTAATTATCAAAAGAAGGATGTTATTTTACTCAGGAAAATAGCATCAGAGTGCGTGTGTGTTTGGTTTTTCATAACAGAAATGAGAACTGGAGTAGTAGAAAAGATTACTTCAGTTCTATACGGTATTTGTTCTGGACATAACTCAGTTTCCTGTCTGAAATTAAAAAAGAACAAGATGGGGACTTTTCACACATTGAGAACTACATGTAAAAAGCTATCTGCTTGCTTTATTTTAGGGCAGCAAGTAATGGTATATGTTTCCCTTTTCTGAGGTAAAAGCAGGTTCAGCCAAAAAGGGGTATTAACATCAGAGTTGGATTTGAAGACAAGGTTAATGTGAAAATTTGCAAAATGTTTTTCCTGTGAACTTTTATCAAGGAAAAATTGCTTTTACCCCCCCTTCAAGTTAACTGGAGGAGCTTTCCTTGTTATTTCTGAAATATTTCAACAGTGTGGAAATAACAGCCCCAGGAAATCTCATTTCATTCACATCTTTCAAAGCTCCTTGATAGAGGATATCACAGAAATCTTCAAAAATTTGGCTAAGAGTAGGCTTAAGATGTAGTAGGTAATTCCATTCTGGTGGATACATCAAGAGTCTGCACTGCTTCTCTCTAATGAATGTTGCCTTAAAGAAGTGACTGTAGTTAGCACAATGAAAATTTAATCTGGTTTTGCTGTTGTTCATCCTTGGTTTTTAAGACTATAAAAAAGTCCTGGTCATCTCAGACCAGTTCTTTTTTTTTTTTTTTTCTTCCCCAAACATTACCTTTTCGCACACTTTTTAATATCAAGTGAAGAAGTATAATGGGCAGCTATGGAATAATCTCCTTCAGAATTTTTTTACTAATGCTAATTATTAATTTTCATGTGTGAAATGTATACCTATGTACATATATAATTGCTATTTAATTACTTTCAGTTCTGCTGTTCTCATTGCCTGTCTAAACATCTGTTTGTTTTTTTTTTTTTTTTTAAAGCTGACAAATCCTTAAAAAACCAAGTTCTTAATGATTTTAAAATACTGTTGCAATGTATCTTTTATAAAGGAGGATTTGGTATGAACTTAAAAGTTGAGAAGTCTTGTATGTTGAAGTAATAGAAATCATGATTGGTAACCTTAATTTTTTTGTTGTTGTTGGGTTTTTTGATGTTTTTTTTTTTCCCTTTTCCATCTTGAAATGCTGTCTTACCTGATAGAAATTGGTAGACAATTTGTCCCCATTCCTCTTCTTAACTCTTCCAAGACAATATACCCAGTTACTGATAAATCGTACTACAGCTAGCTTTTGACAAGATTTTTGGTATTTTTTTTGTCAGTGGAATAAAACAGATATATTTGTTCTTCTTTACCATTATGCTATTATTAATATCCATTGCTTTACAGTAGTTGCTTTGGGTTTCAGGTTTACATGCATGTATTTCAAGCTTGTTGGAATATGTTTCTTCAGAGGATAGCATTTCTTACTGTATAGAGCACTCATGAAAAGTCTGAAAGCAGATGTTTATTGAAGTTAGTGGGAAGACTGCACCAACTTAGCTGAGTTAGGTTTTTTTTCCTTGCAGACATGGCATGTATGTATGGAAGAATTAGCATTCCAGTGAAATGCTGGTCTTCAATATTGCAGAAGTTGTCCAAAAAGTGCTAGTTTAGCCCTGTCAAATTTGGCCTTCTCAGTAGAAGAGAGAGTTATTTTTTTCTTTCCTCCTTTTTGTTTTCTGATGAACCTGTTGGATTGTAGACACAAAATAGTCAGCATTGGCAGAACTTACACTAAGAAAATGTCACTACAATTAATCTTTTTGTATTTTTAATATACTAATGTGTATCTTTAGAGAAAAAAAAAATGTACCAAATAGTAGTTTAATGTATAGAGAAAACTGTCTGCTGTTTTAATTTATATAGACCCTTTTATTGCCTTAGACCCATTTATTGCCTTAGGTAACAAGCTTAATAAAATTCATGCTAAATCTTTGACATGCTTGTTAAAATATTCCTGATTTGTAAACATTGTTAAGTATCTTTTTATTGCATGTTGAAGCAGAAATATGCATATTACAGTATGTTGTAAAGGCCAGACCATGCTATCTTAACTGTGTAACAAATTCTTCTGCTTAGTGTTTTCTCTTTCTTTTTTTGTTGTGGTTTACTTCAGGTTGGTTGGAGTACTGCAAGAGATTATTACACATTTCTTTGGTCACCTATGCCAGAAAATTATGTGGAAGGATCAACTGTTAACTGTGTGCTGACTTTTCAAGGTAAATATAAAACGTTATCTACCTGTATGTTCCAGCCTACACAGCTTTTTAAATACTTACATTACAATTACATTGTAATTACAATGTTGAGGGTAGTGTAACAGTTCTAAACTTTTACAAACATAAATTGGAGGGGAATTTTCCATGCTTCACTGTGTGAAGGTCAGTCTGATTTTAGATGTCAAGGAAATGATAAGGGGAAGTCTGTGACTTAGTATGTTTTTACATAGTAGTGGAGAATATTGATGACTGATAGAAAGAAAAACTCTGCTTGAAACTATTCAAATACAGAAAATTACTTTCTTTAGTCATCAGCAGGGTTTTTTAATCTTGGCATCTCTTAATGCATTGTGTCTTTACATTGTCTTTAATCTCTGGACTTCAAACATCATTCTCAATGTAGAGTGATTCTTGTGAAAGAATAAACAATGTACATGATGGTTTGGTGAAGGTTCAGAGTTGTCAGTAGCAGAGGACCTTTTGGCAGTGAGGAATTGATGCAAATGACTGAAGTCTTTAAGAAAAGAATAAAGAACAAACCAGAAAATGTTACACCACTGTTCAAATCTATATTATAACTGCATTTTTAACACTGTGTGGAGATCAGATGCTCTCCTTCCCCTTCCCAATCTCAAAAAAGATCTAGTAGCACAAATGAACAAAGTGCAACAAGGAAGATCAAAATTAAGAAACGGGTTCTGTGTAAAGGTGTGGAGTTACAAAGGTGACAGAGCCACACTCTTCTCACTAAATATAAAAAGGGACAATGGCCATGGATTGTGGCCTGGGAGGTTTACATCTGACATTAGGAAGAACTTTTTTACCCAGAGGGAGTAGTGCAGCACTTGAAAAGGTATTCCTGGTTTGGAAGGATGGGAGTTCCACGCACTTGATTAGACACAGCCGTGGTAGTCTCAGACTGGTGCTCGCAACAGTGTCTTGAGTGGGAAGTTAGATATAAGAAAGAAATTCTTCACTATGAGGGTGGTGAGGCACTGGAACAGGTTGCCCAGAGAAGTTGTGGATGCCCCATTCCTGGAGGTGTTCAAGGCCAGGTTGGATGGGGCTTTGAGCAACCTGGTCTAGTGGAAGGTGTCCCTCCCCATGGCAGGGGGCTTGGAACTAGATGGTCTTTAAGGTCCCTTCCAACCCAAACCACTCGGTGATTCTATGGTAAGTTGGACTAGGTGACTTTCAGAACTTCCTTCTGCCAGGTTTTTCAGCCTGGGAAAGGGAAATAATGGGAAGTGACAGATGTCTCTAAAATCAGCTGCCCATGCCATGAGTGGGTTATCCATTGCTCATATTTAAAGAAGTAGGAGCCATCGATGTAAGCTACCAAGTAACAGGTTCAAAACGGAGGTAGAGGTGATACTTGTGTAACACAGTCAATGTGCAGAACTTCTTGCCACAGGACATTACAAATGTCAAAAATCTACACTCATTCAAAGTTGCATCTAAAAAGAGCACCACCATTAAATTTGTTTAATGCTTTTCTGCTTAGTAACAGAATTTTATGTACTGTCTTACAGGTTTTTTTTTTTTTTCTTCCAAGAGTTGGCCTTAGTTGTTGTGTGTGTGTATTTATTGCTTAAAATATATAGAAAAATAATAAGTGAAGTTCTGGAATGACTGCTGTGTTAGCTTGTTGTTAAAGCTGCAAATAGTGATAGCTTGGATGAGTTCACTGTTCTTTCTCCTACCTGAAGTAATTTTTTCTGGTACTTTCGATGATGATCATATCCATGTGATCTGACCATTTTATAACCTTGTAATCTGTGAAAAGCATGTATGCTCTGTAGGAACTGGAAGGAAGTCGTTAGTTTCTTTTACAGTTACCAAAATTCACTGAATGAGTGAAATTGGGTTGGACTGAAACTAAAAGTGACCTACAAGCTAGGACTCTACATGCCATTATCAGTCCTTTGTACTTAGAAGTTTTACCACACATGAAGAGACCAGGTAGCTCTGTCCCATCTGTTGCATTCCATACTGACAGTCTGCCACTTTTATAGAGCTGCCAGATTTAATCTCCATTCAGACAGTCTCCTAGTTGTGTTTGGCAAGATATTTTAGTGCTGCTGAGATGAGATCAGTAGAGCTCAGAGGAGCTTAATTAACTGAGATAAATAGTAAATGTTGTACAGCATGCTTTAAATACACTTTTTTTTAATGATCAAGTAGGTGTACTGGAAGAAAATAATCAGGAATGTCTTGTCTCCAGTACCTGTTAGATACAAGAAAAAAGACTTTAGGTAGTTTTAAAATCAGTTTGTCTGAACCAATATTAAAACTTGCTGGAGCTGCAAAGTAGATTGTTCTGAATTAATTTCTGCATAGTGTCACCTTATTTAAGCATTGAATCAGGTAAACTGAACTGCAGTGCTATATAGGAAAGTGTAGTCAGGTCCAAAAGCACAGAATCCTGGGGTTTTGAAATTAAGATACTATTCCCTGAGCTACGGTTAATAAAGTGTAAGACTAATGGAAACACAAAGTGCTTGATACAAGTGCTGTCCTTATAGCACATGTTATGTTTTACCATTTGCAGGAAAAGTTGCTAAGAGTACTGGGAAAAGTCTTCCAGGAATCTGGAATAAAAGTTGGTGAATAGAAATTAATGGTAAAGTTAGAAAGGGAGGAGACTGAATTGTGGTGAAATGTGAACAGAAATTGGTGACATCACCTCCTGGATTGAACATTAGGTGAGGATTTATCATGCTAGTATCATACTCAGGCTGGCTAGGGTATCTGATAATTAAATGTTCTGAATAAAACCAGTTGGTTTTCTTACCACTAAATTGGGTACAGCATGGTTTCTTGCATTTACTAATAGAGGTAAAAAACTTATTAGTTCTGGAAATGATTGTTTAACATCCACAAAAACTACCATGCGAATCCAGGGGATGTAAGAAACTTGATGTTGAAGCTTTAGTGCGTAGCAGCTCAGTTGAATAGTCACACAGAAATTCTGAAATAATTTGCCAGCAGCATGCAGTGTTACATAGCTACAAGAAAGATGATTTATTCTTACCTTGCAAAGTCTAGAAGAATTTTTTTTTTTCAATTTTGAAAACTAAGCTCTTTTTCAACATGCCCTTCCCCTGCCCCCTCCATACTTGCAGCTTGTTACCATTGTGTCATCCATTCAAAGCATTCCCATGCTTTGGCATTTAAGAATAGCAAAAGTAAATTGTGGTTACTCCACAAAAAACAGAAAAAATTGAACCTAGTAAAGTTGCAGATGTCTTGTCATTGTATGTTATTCTGTCTTTGTCTGTTGTCTTTGATTGTATGGGTGTTCCAAGGCCAAAAAATTGTTTACTCCTTGTTCTGTGGTTGTACAACAGTTACATAATAATGTGGTCCTGATCCAGCTTCAGGGCATGTCATTGCCAACAATTCTGTCTGTTTCGTAAATATATAAACAGCAGCTATTACCTAATGTATATAAGCTGATGTGTACCTATAGCAGCTATTACCTGACACTGTTTTGGTGTTTGTCTTAAAAGCTAGGAGAAATTGCTGGGGAATGAAAGCTACTGAATAGGATGACTTTTCCTTTGTGCTGTTTTGATGATTTATGTGTGCCTTACTGAGGTAACGAGCATGAAATTTGTAAGTCAAACATGATCTGATAATCTATATCCAGATGGAGACTTGTATGTTTGTGTAGAATGTTTCTTCAAATACAAATTTATTTTGATAGGATATTATCTACCAAATGATGATGGAGAATTTTACCAGTTCTGTTACGTGACTCATAAAGGAGAAATCCGTGGAGCAAGCACGCCTTTCCAGTTTCGTACTTCTTCCCCTGTTGAAGAATTGCTCACTATGGAAGATGAAGGAAACTCTGATATGTTAGTGGTGACCACAAAAGCTGGACTTCTTGAGGTTTGATTCAACAATTCTTAAAATGTTATCTTCTTATTTATTTTTTTTATATATACAAATGTACATACACTCACAGGATATGGTACTGAAGAACAAACCAGGAGCAAAAAAACCTACATATGTATGTGTAATGTATATATTTCTGGCTTGTTCTCCAGTATTTGGTTGGAGTTCAGAACATTTGCAGGTTGAATGAGTAAGGATTTTAAACTGGTTACAAGTATGGTATAGCACTAAGCATAGACTGGGAAACCACAAGAGAGTACATAGTTGCCCATGTCTCACACCTGTACCCTCCAACTAACTGGAGGGGGGAAGATACCCTTTGTGTGAAATGGTGCTTGTTGTAAGGGAAAAAAAAAAAAAATAAGGAACCAGTATACTTTTATTTGTGCACAAGTGAAGAGCCCTGGAAACTAAGGTGAATAATTGCAGGTGCCTGAGTATGTTAGAATAGCTCTTGTTTTATTTAAAGCAGTGTTCTGTGTGTCATGTTCTTTGTCAGATGGATGTAGTTAGGCTTGTATGCTCACATCCAGAGTCAAGATGTTTCCATTTGCTTGTTGATATTTTTTAGGCTGAAAACTACTTAAAAACCAAAAAACCACACCGC